ATAGGTTAGTTTTTGTACCGATAAGTGACCCTCAATTTTTTTATTGCTAATTTCAGGAGTTTTTTTTTTTTAGGAAAGCAAATGGTCGTCGGAAAGGGCAGAAGGACGTCTGCCTGGTCAGCTAGTTTGTATAGATGTCTGAGCGTGATGGTTACGCGATTTCAGTGCTTTTTTCCCATTCCAAAAGTGCCCAACGTGCCTAAAGAAGTATTCACTTAAAAAAAAAAAAAAACATGAAAAGTTTACAATCATATATGTTACACAGTTGACAACATAAAACAAATTAGAAATAGTTTGTTAGCGATCACCTTATTATAATAGGTTTACTAGGTGGTAGCCATCGATCTCTAATAAAAAAACTACATACACAATCCCAAGCATAAGTTCTCTAAAAATTGTCGCCAATTGTTTTGACGTAATTCTAGTTGAAATAAATATACATTAATGTAAATTCAACCTTAAATGCATTGCCTAAAGTTGTAGTCACAAAGCTACGTACAAATTAAAAGCGCACCCAAATGTTCGAGTGGTCTCGTTCATTCGGTAAGGACATTTTTGTCATTGATTGTGTATCTAGTTTCTTTATTAGTGATCGATGGTGGTAGCGTATTACTCTTCAGCCTAGGAGTGCAAGTTCGTTTGTAACTAAAAATATAGGTAAAATCTCGTTTAAAGGTCTCATTTTTAGTTTTTACAATTTTTTTAAAGTTATTACTCCATTACATTTACCACCACATGGTGGTATAGTAATTATCCACCTCCACACTTCGTCCAGTATACATACACTGTTATGTACTTGTTTGCTGTAAAAACGAATGTAATTATAGACTGTGACGCATTTCATCCACAGGAGACGACGTTGTTGCAACCTTCTTTGTTCAAATCTGGTTGCCAATGTCCAGATCGGACCAAAATAAAATATTCAAAAGCTGAAGCTAGTCTACGTTAACTGTGACATTATACGTGCTGCCACTATCATAAGTTATGATAGTGGCAGCACGGCTACAGGAGGCCTCACTACGACGATCGTTATGATTCATAATGATCGTCGTAGTGAGGCCTCCTGTAGGCTGTAAATTCATATCCATCGTATCTACTTCCGTATCCGTTGTCGTATCTATTTGGGTTTGGGATCCGTACAGAGAAAGAAAGTATCTATTGTTATACTTTCTTTCTCTGTACGGATCGTATTACGGTAGTATGGTCGTAGTCTGTCATATGTATCTTTATATTGGTTCCCTAGGAATCTGTCGTAAGTCAAACATGTATCTATCTCTGTCATCGCATGTATTTCTATCCCTGTTACCCCTTCTCCCTTCGCTATGTTTCTCATTGTCATCATCATCACTCGCGACCATATTGATTATGTTAAGCTCTCCAAAAGTCGGAGATTTAAAAGAAGTCAAAACATATAATTGGTGGTAGGACTTCTTTTCTGCCTAGGACTCTGTCTGGGTACGAATCATTCTCTTACTTATTTCTGCATCCAAATAGGAGTGCTTGTACTGCTGTTTTCCGCTCTGAAGGATATAGAGAGTCAGTATAATTACACGCTGTGAGGCATTCCATTGTAGTCCTCAGAGGTAAGCAACGTATCTGTATCCTATTTTGTTTGAAGCTGACTGCAGCTGTCCATGGATTGCAGTAGCCCCTTACCATTAGGTGAACTGTTAATTCGATTGTTATTTAAGTTTAATAAAAAAAATGGTCAAATCGGTAAATTAATTTCTGTGTAATCTTCGATAAGATATCTACTATGGTATCATTTGTTTGATTTTTTCTAATAAGATTATGATCCTATTTCGTTGCAGCACTTCAACGCCCTTCTAGCGGACCTAGTGAGGAACCCGGATCTGACGTGGCGGGAAGCCAAGAAGCAGCTGAAAAAGGACCATCGGTACAAATTAGCAGAACTCCTCTCCAAAGATGATAAGGTAAAGATAACCACAATTTCGCCTTAACATTCTTCTTCTTTTGACTTCTCATTTGGAATTTGTTAGTAATGGGTCCGAATTGAGAAATTTAAAGTTTATATGTGTCGTAGTTTGTGGTCTCTTAAGTTCGAATTTATTTTAATATGAAGGGAAGCGAGCGTTGCGTACGTGCGTGTGTGCGAAAGTGCGTGCGTGCGAAAGTGCGTACGTGTGAGTATGCATGCTTACGTAAACGTTTGACGTGTGTTCATTTATTGAATTACTTCTTCTCTCGTATCTCCAGAAAAAATAATACTGACGAATCCAAACCAATTTTCTTCGAAGCACAACTACTGAAAAACTTTTAATAAAATTTTCAAACTTGATTGTGCAGATTTTTGAAAACGAAAAAATCGAACATGCACACTGAAAACAAACCAAAACCCTGCACCATGTTTTTTATAATAATTGATACAGGTCATCATCATTCCTTCTGGGTGCCGTTTTCTTCGACTATATGAAATGCCATAATAATTTCCATATAAAGTTTGCGGCTTTAATTCTTTAAGACCTTAATGCGATCATCGACTTCTAAAGTTATTACGCGGAAATAATTTATTATTCTTAGTTATTTGAGGTTGGCTTTTACTTTTTACAAAATATGATTAAAAATCTTGCTCTTGTCAAGTAAATCGCCATGTATTGGCGTAGAAAGTAAATTTTCTACCCCATGTCATCCTGTGGGTGTCATAAGAAGCGACAGATGGAAAATATCGGAAATTGGGCAGTAGCATCTTCCTGATAACGACTGAAAATAGAGAGCTGATAGCTTCCCTATGACACAATCTTTCTTCTTCGGAGAGGTCTTTAATAATCCCAAATGAAGTAAGTCGATTTCTCCGTAATCGCTTCCCGAAGTAGACTTCGCTTTCGGGTTTACGAAACAATTAATTATACGGTAGCCGGAAATGCTTTTAATACCCATTATGAGAAATATAGAGCAGTCTACGTCAATCTGGGTCATGTAAACATTAACCTTTTTAAATCGGAAAATACTAGAATACTCGCGATTAACAATATGCCCAAAAACGAGAAGGCTTTTGGAATATAGATAAAAGGTTTCGCTTGCCTCAATATTTTATTGAAACGAATCGCACCAAAGCGTTGTCTACTACATTTTATTAACTTGACAGAAGACATTGGACCATACCTTCGATAACATTCTTGTGCAACAATATTACCTATTGTTATTATCAGGAACGTCTGTTCTCCCAGCACACGAGCACGTTGGCGAGCAAGCGGCGTGACAAGCTGCGCGGCCTGCTGGCTGGCATGCAAATTTACAAAATTATATGTCAGTTAACCTAATTTACTTAATATTATATACTATACAATAGTTGTAAAATAACATGTTTGACATTGTAGCTTAAAAGTAATGCTTCTAATACAACCAACTTGACGAAATGTTAAAAGATAGAAATGTGAATTGAACATTCCTTTTCTCTAGTAGAGTAATATTTTACACACCTACTTCATATTTCTATGTCTAAGTTTGACTCATAGAGAATGCCCCAGGCAATAAGTTCGCCTATACGTTATATATGTTGTATGAAGTTAAATAATTAAAATAGATGAAAGACGAAGATGAAAAATGACTACAAATGGGCACACAGTTCACGTGGTGGTAAGTGGATGCTGTGGTTCATAGAAATCTACATCACACTCAAAATGCAGCTGCTTTTCATAACCCCTGAAGACTTAGATGGTTTTCAGTAAAAAGGGTCTTGTATTTCATGCTGGTATTCTGTGACAGTATGGTCCTTCCAAACGCCCATCAAATGTGAAAGATCATAGTTTATGGTCTCATGAAGAATAGTAAAATATCTCAGATCGTGAGTGTTGTAGGAATTATGGGATACTTTGTCCAAAGACAGATAAAAATTAATAAAAAAAAAACAATCCCCGTAAACAGATGGAGCGCGAGTTCCGAGACTACCAGAGGGATAAGCAGAGTGCAGCGAAGACAGCGCTACGGACATTGCTAATGGAGAGCCGAAGTGTGTGGAATTGTGTGGAACTCACCGCAGCTTGACCGCCGTCAAGGAGAACAATGCGGCGCTGCAGACCATACAGGACTCGTTGCAGCACGACGCCAGGTGAGACAAACATACCAGATAGATACAAGCACAGACACAGACGCACACACACACACACACACACACACACACACACACACGCGCGCACAGTAAACAGGCCATAATGATACGATTCAAACTATTTTTAAATCTATATCTTTTGTTCTTTTAATAGGACAATGGACAGAATTAACAAAATCAGCTGCATTTTTTTATTTGTCATTTTTAGAGGACATTGGGTACAATTGAGTAAATAAATCAAAAATGGTTTTTATATTATTTATAAGGTATTCTTAATCAGTCATAAACTTTCATCTCTTTATTTAATAATTAAATTATCTACTTTTATTGCAGTGTCTCTGGACTTAAAAAGTATTAAATTTTTCAAAGAAAAAAAATTAAAACAAAACTTCTTATTTTTTATTAACTTTAAAAAATCAAATCTTTTTATTATCACATTAAAATCAGTCAGGCATGAAAATCAGCGTAAGAATTTCTTTGTTTGGTTAAACATAAGTTAACATTACTTTGTGGGGTTGTTGCTAGGCAAATAAAAGCGTCTTCACTCTCAAAAACAAAATGTAGATATATTCTTCTATTACACAGGCAATTTAAATTTATAAGTACGTAGCAAAAACAATGAATAATAAAAATACAATTACTAATTAGAAGTAAGGAGTGCTCGAGATAGGAAGCCGAGAATAAGTTAGACGTGATTTAAAAATAACCGTTATTCCGGCGGCGCGAGTGTGAGGTCTAGCGTTGAGGCCGTTTAAATGCTGACTGCCAGTAAAAACCGAAGGCGCCCGGACCGTCACGAAGGCAGCGCTAACGGGGCCGAGCATTTCCGACCCCAACCGACACGAACCTCGCGTCGGCGCACACGCCGTTACTTAAACATGCAAAAGAATGACAAAAATGCATGTCGCCACATCAGCCCCCCCGGAGACCTTTAAGGTCGATAGAAATCAGGGAATCGTACTCGGCGACCGTAGCGAGACGTCCTGAATTGCGGAGGAGTTGAAAGTGTTCTTGTACCATCACTCGCAGCGTTAGTCCCCTGCGTCCTTGGTATAGTCGACGTCGCACCAGAACTACCTGGTTCATCCGTCAGGATATAGGCCGGTTTCAACCTGTCGATAGAAACGTTGACTATTCTACCAGCAACGTCAATTTTGAAATTTTTTTTACCGCGCTCTATTACCTTATACGGACCGGCATAAGGTGGTTGTAACGATCTCCGTACAAAGTCCTGTCGTAAAAATACATGTGAAACAGTCGCTAAATCTTTAAAAACGAAGATTTTACGTGTACCATGTCCAGTAACTGGTGTAGGTTGTAACCTTTTCATATGTAAACGCAACCTGTCCAGAAAGTCGGTGTAGTCAGTCAGTCTATCAGCCGTCGGTTCAAACAAGTCGCCGGGTAACTTAAGCGGTTCTCCGTAAACTAGTTCAGCAGTAGAAGCAGACAAATCATCCTTCCATGCACTACGAATACCCAGAAGTACAAGTGGAAGTTTCTCAGTCCAGTTCTCGTCTGCGTGACACATAATAGCTGCCTTAAGTTGTCGATGGAAGCGTTCCACTAGACCATTGGCAGCCGGGTGATACGCAGTAGTTTGTATATGTCGTGAACCTATAAGCGCTGATATCTGCCTGAAAAGATGAGATTCAAACTGTTTCCCCCTATCTGTGGTTACCTTTTCTGGGCAACCAAAACGTGATATCCACGATGATATAAAAGCTTTTGCTACACTCTCCGCTCTGATATCCTTTAACGGCACTGCCTCCGGCCACCTGGTAAACCTATCTATAGCTGTGAAGCAGTATCGGTAATCATCAGAGACGGGAAGTGGACCTATCAAGTCTACGTGAACGTGAGAGAAACGGGCCGTAGGAAGCTTAAAATCCTGGATAGGGGCGTGTACGTGTCTCGATACTTTCGATCTCTGGCATGAGATACACGAGCGCGCCCAATTCCGGCAATCCTTCCTAATGCCCGGCCATACATACCTCTCAGTCACCAATTTGATAGTGGCCCTAGCACTTGGATGACTAAGTCCATGAATATTATCAAAAACCATTTTACGGGATGCAGGTGTTATGAATGGTCTATGTCTGGGCCCAGATATGTCACAGAAGATTTTCGTACCACCAATAATAATAAAATAAAAAATAAAAATCTTTATTGACATAAAAATGTTACAATATTTTTTTTTTTGAAGTCCCTGACTCCCAAGCTAGGTTAAAAACCTGTGTTACGGGAGTCAGTGCGATCTCCCTAATATAAATGACAGCTAAACTATTTTATGTAAATAAAGTAATTTAATTCTATTTGCGTGCATGCATATTTCCGCGAGGTGTGTGTTGTGTGTGTGTGTGTGTGTGTGTGTGTGTGTGTGTGTGTGTGTGTGTGTTAGTGTGCGAGTGTGTGTGTGTGTGTGTGTGTGTGTGTTTTTGCGTAAGCGAGAGACGTCGTGCATGTGCGTGCGTTCGTGAGTGTGTGGTTGAAATTTAAGATTTAACAAATTTTTGGATGTTAATTGATGATTAGCTTCATACTAAGATCGATTCAGTTTGTTCATAATCTAGTCCTAATAGCCAATTCTTAATTTTAATTTTGACTTTTCTATTAGATATAGGATGTATATTTATTAGCTTATTAATTTTGTTATACAAATATATAGCCTTATAAGCATGTTGCCGCCTAGCAGAAGCCGTTCGACATGTAATAGGTAAGCATACATTTTTTATAACTCTATTTTTGTTATAATCAGCGGCATTATAAACGGTAACTATATGCTGTTTAGTAATTAACTTTAAAATGTACAATTGTCTGACAGTTAATACTCGACATTTCTCGTACAATTCTTTAGTGGGAAATCTGTATGGCCTAAAGGTCATGACTTTTAAGAGGGATCTTTGTGCCCTTTCCAGGCGGATTAAAAAGGTCTTACAGGCTCCTCCCCAGACGCTTATACAGTATCCTATAATAGACTGAACCAAAGCATAATATATTGAACGCAGAAGAGGTAAATCAGCGGCGTATCTTAACTTTTTAAAAACCCAAATAAGTTTTCTAGTACGTTCAGTTGTAAGATCTATATGTGAACGCCAGTTAAGTTTGTCGTCCAATATTACGCCTAGATATTTGACACTACTGGATTTAGTAATTCCAAGACATGAACATAGAGAGGTAGTATTAAAAGGTTCAGTACACGAGTGGACCTTAAGATCGAGGTTTACGGATCCAGTGTTTCCCAAGGAAAACTGCATGTATGTAGTTTTAGAAATATTTAAAGTCAGTAGATTTGCACCTAGCCAATGGCCAACCCTGTGAAGTCCCAGCTGAGCATTATATCGAGCCTCATTCCAAGTCTTACCGTGGAAGACCAAAGCTGTATCATCAGCATAGGTAAACATTTTACCATTTACTAGAGGTTGCTGACATAAATCATTTATATAGATAAGGAAGAGACTAGGTCCTAGAATACTACCCTGTGGAACGCCACATACAACCGGTTCCTCGGGACTAACGTATTCACCCACTTTAACCTGTTGTGTGCGGTGACACAGAAAGTCCTTAAATAACATCAGTGCATTGCCACGAATACCAACGCGTTCTAACTTACTCACAAGGATAGGTATCGAGACAGTGTCAAACGCCTTGGCTAGGTCGAGAAAAATCCCTAAACATTTTTGCTTCGCATCAACCTTTGATGTCACAAACTCTGTTAATTGAATTACTGCATCTTCAGTGGACTTCCCCGACCTAAAGCCAAATTGTGAAGAAGATAAAACTTTATAATGTTCTAAAAATTTAATAAGTCTATAATTTAATAATTTTTCTAAGATTTTCGAGATAGAAGAGAGTACTGAAATTGGCCTGTAATTGGACATTTCGTCTCGAGACCCACCCTTATGAACAGGAGTGATCAGTGATTTTTTAAAAACTTTTGGAAAAATTCCCTGCACAATACACAGCTCAAAAAGTTTAGTCAACGGTGGAACTACAAGATGTACGGATAATTTGAGAAGTTGCACAGGTATGGAGTCCCATCCAGTAGCAGTTTTATTTTTTAGGTTTCTAATAATAGATTCAACCTCGCCCTCATCTCGTGGAAGTAGCACAAAAGAGTTAGGGACTGGTGGAATTGTGAAATTGTATGGAGAGCTATTTTGATTTGATATATTCGCGACTTCAGCTAGTTGTTTACCAGTATTAGAAAAATATTTGTTTATGGCTTCTACATCACGAACAGCATTTTCAGCAGAACTCAAAAGATTATCAGCACTCGTCTTTTGTTTTGTATAATTTATTATAGATTTAATTGCATTCCAAGTATCTTTATTAGTTTTCGCGTTTCGTAACAATGACTTTTCATAATTTCTTTTAAGTTTTCTCAACAAAGAGTTACAATAATTTCGGTAACGCTTATATGTAATTTTAAGAATTGTATTATCAGGATTATTTTTAAGTTTTTTATGGAGTTTGTCTCTGTGGCGAATACAACGCAAAAGACCAATAGTTAACCATGGTTTTAGCGTTCTTTTTTTATTAGGGATACGACGGTAATCAGAATGCAGTGAAATCGCACTAGCCAGCTTTTCTACTAAAATTGATGCTGCTTCATTTGCATCAGATGAGGTATTTATAAAGGAAAAGTCCACTGTCTCTAAATATTTTAAACAAGCATCATAGTTTATTCTAGTAATAAACTTTACTTCTTTAGGCATTTGCGGATCAAGGCAAATACTGAGTAGGATTGAAGCATGATCTGTTATAGTACTATTAATCACAAATACTGATGCCGCTGAACGAGTTTTCAGCATAACATGATCAAGACAGTTTTGTAACCTAGTGGGCTTAGTGTGACTTGGAAGCAAGCCTAACTCCGCTATTAAATTTAAGTACGCTTCACTTCTTCGATCGTTGTTATTAGCTTTAATATCAATATTTATATCACCAATTAGTACCAAGTTTTTATTTGAGTCTAGGGGACGAACTATATTTTCTATAGAATTCAAAAAACTGTCAATACAGTGAGTCGATGGTGATCTGTAAGTAGCTAAAATGAAAATGTCGGGATCAATAATTTTAATAGACATGAAATTTGCACCTAATGACTCTGGTTCTTCTATTGTACATTTAATACCTTTTTTAACATATACCACGATACCGTCGTTTTGATTGAGACATTTATGCGTAAAGTATGCATTGTAATTTTCAAACTGAGGAATATGTTTAGAGGCACTTAGCCAGCATTCAGTTAAGATAATAATGTCACATTCAAACGTGAAACGTGATAGTTGAACGAGTAAACTATCTGAGTTTTTGTATATGCTACGAATATTTTGACTGAATATCTTTAGGGAAGTAGATTTATTTTTAATGAGCGAATTACAGGTTTCAGTGTCGCAATCGTAAGCTAAAGCTACGTCTATATTGTCCAACTCTGTTGAGATATTGTCATTTACATCAGTCAGCTCAGAAACAAGTTAATAGATTGGCACTTTTTATTGTAACAACGTACTTGGTTTATATTATTATGGAATGCAGGTAAAGTAGCAATTGAAATACAGACCTTCTGTAACTTGAGAGACGAACCGGTTCGCAAAATATTTTTGAGTTCTGAGTCCGTGTCCTGAGAAGCTGCTAAGGCAATAGGGTCTAGCGAACATGTTATTGCATCCGTTCTCGATAACGCATCCGCAACAACATTGTCCTTCCCGGTAATGTGACGGATATCCGTTGTGAATTGGGATATAAAATCTAAATACCTAAATTGTCGCGGGGAGCAAGCGTCGCGGGACTTCTTAAAGGCTGAAATAATTGGTTTATGATCAGTTATTATAAAGAAGGGTTTTAATTCTATCATATGTCGAAAATATTTTACTGACTCGTAAATAGCTAAGAGTTCACGATCATATGCACTGTATTTAATTTGCGTTGGTGAAAGCTTACGCGAAAAGAATCCTAACGGCTGCCAATGACCTAGGACCTTCTGCTGCAATACTGAACCAATGGCGGAGTTGGATGCGTCAGTTACTATGGCCAACGGAGCAGACATATCTGGATGAGCCAGAAGAGCGGCATTAGCGATGCTTGCCTTGCAAGCATTAAAAGCGCTTTCTAGGTTAGCAGTCCAGTTAATGTTGCTCTTGCTCTTCACCGATGGACCACTAAGTAGTGCATGGAGAGGAGCCTGAAGCTTGGCAGCATCCTGTATAAAGCGTCTATAAAAGTTTAATGCTCCTAAAAACCGCCTAAGATCCCTGATAGTTTTAGGTAGTTTAAAGTCGAGAATAGCCTTCACCTTGTCACCAACCGGTTTAGTGCCTTCCGAAGAAACCAGGTAGCCCAGAAACTCCACCTGCGGCACGGCGAATACACACTTATTTGTATTTAATAAAATACCGTATTCGCTGAAACGCGAAAATACCGCACGTAGATGTTCCTGGTGCTCCATCTCATTAGCGGAAGCAACTAATACGTCATCGATGTACGCAAAGCAGAAATCGAGATCCCTGAGGACCTCGTCCATAAAGCGCTGGAAGGTTTGCGCGGCATTTCGCAGGCCAAAGTTCATTAGTGGGAACTCAAAAAGTCCGAAGGGTGTCGTAATAGCTGTCTTCTCTACATCCTCTATCGCAACTGGTATCTGATGGTACGCTCGCACTAAGTCTAGTCTACTAAAAATTTTACGATTAAAGAGATTGTGTGAAAAGTCAGCAATGTGGCGTACTGGGTATCGATCTGGTATCGTGCGAGCATTTAGTGCACGGTAATCCCCACAGGGTCGCCAACCTTCGCCCTTTTTAGGCACTAAATGGAGGGGTGACGACCATGAGCTCTCCGACCTACGCGCTATACCCGTACGAACCATTTCTTCAAACTCCTGCTTCGCTATTTTTAAGCGATCAGGTGCTAGTCGCCTTGGTCGCGAACACACAGGTGGGCCTGGGGTCGTTCTGATATAATGCTGCGTATGGTGCTTGATTTTTGGCTCCAAAGGAGCTCCGACCGGCCGCATTATATCAGGATATTCTTGGAGTATCCGATGGAACGATGAATCACCTGAAATGACCTTTATGTGCGGGCACGGGCAAGCAAATGCATTCGAGGCGACTGACGTAAGCGAAGTGCAATTATCAATTAATCGCGAATTACGTACGTCCACGAGTAAGTTATAGA